TATGTTTCATTCCCCCTGAATAAGTACTGGTAGGAGTAAGTTGTCATCGAACGTTCAACAAGCATTGTCACGATCAAGCCCTTATGCTGTAAAGTTGTCAATTTATCATCGATATATATATATATATTCCTTAACCTAACACGGGTTTAATTTTGGGCTAGTTTTTAGTTTTATTTTTATTTCCTATTGGACTTAGTTTAGATTGTATTTGATTTCAGTCTTGGGCTAGGCTTTAGTTGATATTTTAGCAATTCATGGTTGGGTTTAGGGTTTAGTTGCTAAGATCGAACTTCGTATTTGTATCTACTTCTTGTTATTAAGCCCCTGTTTGGCCAGCGTTCTTGTGAAGAAAAAATGAAGAATTTGACCATTTTTTTCAAATTAGTGGCCCCCTCCCTCTCACAAGTTGGTCAAATATTTCGGCTGGCCCCATGTCTAACGGTAAGAAAATTTCTAGAAATGGGAAAAAAATGTCCTCCAAACAGGGGCTAATATTAGTATCTACTTTCAGGTGTATTTATGTAGTATTATTTTAAATATTAAAAAATTTAATTATAGTACGGAACCGAACAGAACCGAGCCGAACCCGAACGTTTCCAAAATTATATTTGGAACCGACGGTTCCATTTACTAAAGAACCGAAAATTTCTGGAACCGAAAAAAATCGAATCGAACCGAACCGAACCGACCCGCGCCCACCCCTAGTTTGAAGATTGGAATTCAAAATTCAGGGATCAAGTTTTATTATTCAAAAATTAGGTACTATATAAAACCCTAACCCTAATTTATCACTCACTCTCAACTCCCTCACCTCTCTCTCTCTCTACCGTCGAACTCTTCCCTCTCTCTGTGAATCTATTGTCGAACTCTCCCCAAATTCATTCGAACCCTCAATCGACATTCCCCAAGGTAGTGGCAGCGTGAAGGTGATAGTGGCGGTCACGAGATGTCGGTGGCTGTGGATTTAAAATTGATTGATGGTGATGGGTCAATGATGGCAGATCTCGGTGGCTGACGGCATGGCGTGGTGGTTGTTGTAGGGCTTATTGGATTTGGTTAGTTATTAAGGAGGTGCTTGAAGTTTGATGTCTATGGCTGTGGATTTAAAATGGATTGATGGTGATGGGTTAATTGGTCGATGATGGCAGAAGTCGGTGGCTGAGGTGTGGCGACGGCATGGCGTGGTGGTTGTTGTAGGTCTAATTGGATTTGGTTGGTTATTAAGGAGGTGCTTGAGGGTTGTAGGTGGTGAAATGTCAAATGAGGAGGCGAAAATAGCGGTGCTGTCGTCGGAGATGGCGACGGTCATGAAGGTGCAGCGACTGCGCAGCGCCCTACGGCGATCTGTACTTTTCAGCTGAGTCTGTCACATATCGTTGACGATCTAAGATTTTTATAGCTACTCTGAGGTGTTTTGGGTGGTGGCGTCTATGGTGGTGGATCAGCGGTTGGGGTGGTGGTCGTGCTTTGTTTGGTGGTTGTGGGTGGTGGCGGTGTTTTTGTGTGGCAGTGGTGGCTGAAGTAGTTCCAGTGGTCTGTGACCTAAGTATTTGGTTAAATTGTGACCTATAATTATATATTTGTGACCATTAATTGTATAATTTTGACCTAATTAAAATTATATTTCATAATTATTATATTAAATTATATATTTAACTGTAACATTATATAATGAACCCATCCCCACGTCACTTCACTTCCACCTCTGCTCCGGTGACTGTTCTTCGGTCACAGATCAAAAAATTTGTAGGTCACAGATTATTTCGAGATCATAAATCTAAAATTTTATAGGTCACAATTTTTTTATCGGTTACAGATTAAAAATTTTATTGGTCACAGATTATTTCGAGGTCACAAATCTAAAATTTTATAAGTCACAGATCAAAAAATTTATATGTCACAATTGACTCCATTGGTCACTGATCAAAAACATTATAGGTCACAAGTTAAAAAAAATTTAGTTCACGGAGATTATATATTTCCAAATTTATTGGTCACAGATTAACGAATTTTAAGGTCACGGACCACATAATTGGTCATATACACCCAAACACCCGTCCCACAATCCCAATACACCACTAATACTTGGTCATAGGTCACTGATCGAAATAGTTGGTCACATACACACAAACACTCGTCCCCTAGCCCAGTGCACCACCATCGCCGCCTGTACCACCACAACAAGAAAACCACCACAACCGCCATCGACCCTATTATATACATGCTACACCATTGACATTGCATCCCAACTATCTCAAAACATGTTCAAAAAATAAAAAATCCTCAAAACCCTCAATGACTAACAGTAAAGAAACTGCATAATCAAAATCCAATGCTTTCAAGAACCAAATATTACCATTCACGTGATTGGCTATTTGGAATCCCAGATTTCATCTCAAATTTACAAGATAACTTAACAAAATACAGATATCTCATCTCACAGCCCCATTTCTTTGCAGCCTTTGTAAGCACAATTACAGGCAACAAAATTCCTAAAAAAATAAATCACAAACCCTAATTGCACCTACAGTTGAAACAACTTTCTTGGATTAGATGATACAAATTCCTAAAACAAGCCTGTTACTATTTAGTTAATGCTTCCATGAGCTCGTGTGGCGACGATTCCCAAATTGGAAGGTCAGTGAATTGCTGCTTCAATCTCTCTTCTTGGGCACTCATAATGCTTTTGCTTCATCGCACAGATTCGAGGGAGAAGAGGAGGAGGAGGAGGAGGCAGCAGGCGGTGGAGGCGCTGCTGCGATTCACAACAACGCCTCGACGCTGTGAACAATAGCATCGTGACGCTGCTAACGGCAGGGAGGGAGGGAGATGGGGAAGGGAATGNGTGGTGGTGGATGAATCGCAGAGAGAAAGGTGGCGATGGAGGCGGCGGGCGGTGGAGTGGAAGAGCAATTTCATCGAAATTAAATAGCGACATGCATAACTCATTCTTTTACCAAATTAAGCCTTGTCTGATTGCAACGAATTTCATGGAAAATGTCACATCCGAGAAAAACAAATTCCACTTTGGCGGTTTGAATGCATGTGGAAACGGAAATCAAATTCCAATGTACAACCACTTTAAATTGTATTTTCTTTATTTTCATGGAAAACGAATTCCTATGAGTGTGATGAATTTTTATCCGTTTGATAGATAAAGGTGGAAATGAATTCCAATTTTATGTTAATTGGAAAATAAAAATTCATTTTCCTCGGGCATATACTTCCGCTCCAAGAGAGTGGCTCGTGAGCCTATCTTTTAGAGATGACGCCTTCTGGTGAAGTCAAGTCAATTTTGGACCACCGAACCCAAAAATAACTTCATCCAAACACTCACTTATCCTCGATTTAGGATTGGTTATTTGTAACCTTTTAAAAGAATCATGAATTGTCTAAGATAATAATGAGTATTGATTTTGAATATTAAGTAAAATTTAACTTTTACTGAATAGTAAAGTAAGTTTTAGCTTGGGTAACTGAAAACAATTAAAATGAGACTCAAAATGGATAAGTCCCATGTTTATTAGTATTGAGTAATACGATAATAGTAAGAGGCATTGATGGGGATTTCTCGAAGTCTCTAACACTTAGAGAAGTTGCGGAAACAGTCATTACTGAAGCATAGACAAAAACTATTACAAGTCATAACAGGTAATTTTCGTCATCTGGAAGTGAGGCTTTTTTGGAATAAGACACTGGTTAACAGAAACCATCATATGCATGTCTGGAGGTAGTATAAGTTAACACAGAGCTTGTTTTACTGATTCTGGTGGTATAAAATTTGATATAGTATCACAAGTGAAATGAATAGTAAAACTAATACTAAGAATATACACATTGCAAATTTTAAAAATATAAGAAATGACACAAGAAAAGGAAAGTTCAGATTATTGATAACAGTTAAAAGTCCTTTAGAATCATTGCCTGAACAATGCTTAGATAGTTAGATGTGAATCAATAAAAATGTTTTTGAACAATATAGAATACCATGTCAAGTGTGACAGAGATACAGATTTGATGACCTGAACAATGCTTAGATTGTTAGATGTGAATCAATAAAATTGTTTTTGAACTATATAGAATACCATGTCTTCAGGTCAAGAGTGACAGAGATACAGATTTGATGTTAAGAGTTATTTCATAGTTAGACAAATTTATTAAGTTTACCACACAAAGAAAGAAGGACTTCATACACAACTCCGTTCTACGTCTGAGGCCAAAATCTCTATGACTTTATTTTCGAGTGAATTGGCAATGCAGTTCTGATTACTTCTTGCTGGAACATAGAAATATTTTGCTTATGTTCTCTCCTTCCTCTTGCTTCTGTTAGTCAATCTCTGCGATCAACATCTTGAGTTTTAGATGTGCGTGAGATTCTGTAACACTGCCCACAGGAAAAGGTAATACAAAAATGCTACTTGTACATAGTGTGACAGAGATACAGATTTGATGCAGTTAGACAAATTTATTAAGTTTACCACACAAAGAAAGAAGGGACTTCATACACAACTCCGTTCTACGTCTGAGGCCAAAATCTCTATGACTTTATTTTCGAGTGAATTGGCAATGCAGTTCTGATTACTTCTTGCTGGAACATAGAAATATTTTGCTTATGTTCTCTCAACCTCTGCGATCAACATCTTGAGTTTTAGATGTGCGTGAGATTCTGTAACACTGCCCACAGGAAAAGGTAATAATAGCAGCTGCACTTCCACCTGCTATCAGAAATTTTCTTACAGAGAACATAATGTTCTTGAAGATTTTTTCTGAAAATCAGATATGTTTGCAGGTATCATCTTGACGATGCTAGGCCTGGGGTAATTACAGTAGTGCCCAAGTTTCGTCAACAGTGAGCTATATTCACATTTGCAGGAATGAAATAGTTCACCTCTTCTATATTGTTTTTGTTCACATTCTGATTGTTGTTCTAATTCTGTCTACGAACCCTACAGATTGCATGGTAACTTTTGAACTTTGTCTTATATGGAGAGGTAGTACAATGAAATTCAATAACTCGTTTGTTTGATTGTTGAACTGGTCGAAAATTTTAGGTTTTGTGCAACTGAACATAACATTAACTGAGAACCACCAAGGAATTTCTAATTTTGACTGTTCTCAAACAAGAAAAATCAGTATGCTACTCGAGGCATTACTTCTGTTATCCAGGCAATAAACTTGGTTATTCAATTGCCGATTTTAGGAAATTAATTGTTCAAAAATGTCGAGAAAAAAATCAAGCAAAATGTTTCTTTTCCAGTGCAGAACAAATAAATGAATAAAGTACATTAGTCTTTAAACTGTAACAAATACTGAAAAGAGGCAATGTTCAAATGTCTTGAAACAGAATAAGGTGCTACGACTACCCGTCTGTCTTTTAACTATGGTATTATTTCCCAATTCTCAAGACATTTGATACCACGTAGACAGATGCATAACCATAGTGCTGACACATAACTTTACTCTCTAAAACAATATTAAAAAAATAATATTAATTAACCGTTAGGTATATACCTAGCACTCTTTGCTCTACATATCGTACTCTTTGAAATAATATTAAAAAAAATTAAAATTGGTTATAATATACATCGCATAGTATAATCTTTTCAATTCTCAAATTTTCCACAGCTATCTTTTCTTTCGGAGGAAATTTTTAGTACTCCAGCAATGCTAATATTGAAATGACTTCTGTGTTGAAGAGAAAACTATGCGAAAGGAAGGAATGTTGGGTGGGGTGGGTTGGGGTGGGGTTGAGAGAGGTGCACTTAAAATCCACCCGAGGAAGTTGGAAATTCATACAAATTAACTTCTACAAATATTATATAAATAAAAAAAGATACATATCCTTCATAAAAATTTTGTGCGCCCTCCTGAGTTGGTTCTTTACTCGAAGAAGTCCTCTTTTCTCCCCCTTATTTTCACCAGCCTGCATGATGGTGTTACATAAATACATTTTCACCATACAGATTTTGTGCACCCTCCAGATTCGGTTATTTACTTGTTGAAAAAGAGCCCTCCTTTCCTTCCGTTCTTCTTTTCACCAGCCTGCATGATGGTGTTACAATTATCTTTAACAGAACATAATGCTCAAAACAATCAAAAAAATGGATTCAGTGTAAGCCAATTTGTAGTTTCAGATGAACTAGTTCAGCATCATCAATGTATTGCTTCAAGATACTTGAATTGACACAATAAAATCCTAAAATCCATCCCTTAGTATGGTAGTTTACGATAGAGTTAGTTATATCTAATCTCGGGCATTTAAAACTTTTCCCGCATATGGATAAGCACCAGAAGGTGCTTTACACCTAACACCTATTTATCCGTCAACAGCTAGAGTTAACCTCTGACATCCTACAAAGTATATACTGCCATGATATACATATAATCAATCACTAAGAATTTTGCTACAAGGTGCTTTGTCAATCTCGTACTGCTATTCCTGGTTAGGGTTTTAAGAAAACATTTTTAGTGTACTTGTTAATGAGACATCATTACCACATCTTTATAAACCAATAACCATTAATTCTCTCGCACAGCGACAGGTGTAAGAGAAATTTCTTAACAAGCTGGATACATTGTATTCCGACATAATTATTCAATTGGAAGTAAAACATTCAGTAACTTAAGTTTGCCTTAACAGAGAACGAGAGGGACTCAAACTAGAGAGATTTAAGCCTTTTTGTGTATTAGCAGAAATGGTTGTGAAACGTATGCCGGGGGAACCATCTACTGTTTAGTGCTGACACATCAGTAAATTCATCAAATAGGCCACATATAGAAAATAATTTTGCAACGACTTCATTTATTAAACGAGTCCACACTGACCTGAGGATTTCCTGAGAAAATAGATCTGGGCAATCGTATTTACCATGTTACTTGTGAGGATTTTCCCCCATGCAGAAAACTAAATCCGGCCATCCCTTATTGTATACTTTTACACAGAAAACGATTTGAAATATGACCATAAGCTGTTGTATGAACAAAAACTTCTGAATTCTTAATCAGGGATGAAGAGCTTCATCTTTCATTAAAAAAAAAAGGCAAAGATTTCAGGAGTTGAAAAGATGGAAACTATTTATTGAAGTTTATTAGATGTCCCTCGAGGTGTGTTACAGCAAGTGATTTCTGAGACCATCAGTTCCTAACTTTGAATGCAGGCATTTGGGATAGAATAACTAAAGAATATGATGGCTTTTAGGGGAGGCTGATTTTGAAAGTCCAAAAATTGAAATGAGGAAACTCAATTCGGAAGGGAAGAAGTATAAAACAATATGCTCTCTTTGTCGTCTTGTCCATATCTTGCCAAAACAATTGCTAGGAATCAGATAATATACCTTAATGATGAATGACCTCAGGGTAAGAACCACTGTATCCCTTGAACTGCAAAGCCCAATCAAAGGCAGAAGTTAGATGTGAAGACAAAATCATTAAAAAAATCTACTAATGTCATTTAGCCATATTGAATGAGAAAATTGTCACAAGTCCATTAAGGTAAGAAAATATAAGTGAATAATTAGGCTGTTGTTTCCACTACAAATACAAGTGCTATAGTTCAGCATTCAGAATCACGACGAAACCTAGAGTGGCATTTGGCAGCTAAAATAGCAATGGTCATCATTATGGTTGAATTCAACCCCCAAAATTGCTTCCAATGCAAATGTCATCCATCAGCCACCATTTTCCCTTTATATCACACATCGCCAGGATGCTTTCAATCACGTGCTAGCCATGCTGCTTCACTTGACCAATCGCAGCAAACACATGAACCCATTTGCTACCCAATTTTTCAACCAGTCTCACTGATCAACTAAAATGATACAACACCAAGTACAGAAAATGAAGATAACACATAAACCTTAGGAATTATTATCCACATCAACAGTTTTAAGTAACACGTAGCCATGTTCATTTCACAATAATAAGAGAAACTCTCCCTTCTTAAAATGTTTGGACTTAAATATCATTCAAAGATATAATTACAAGCGAAGGGTATAAACAATACAGCGTCCGAATCAGTTTTACGCGAAATGCAGCCAAATAACCAAAAAGTATTCTTGAAACATCGTTTGTCTAAAATCAAATACCAATTATTCTAAAACTAATTTTATGATGTGTTGTCAAACTGACTCTGTCCATTTGGAAGCATGATGTATTCTTGTATTGGCATAGAAGCTCGACTCAAAGTGAACACCCACAGCACGAAAAATATATTTCTATATCTATATCTTCATTATATATGAAGATAAAGTAAATGTTGGTTGCAAAATTAACACCTTAAATAGCTAAATACCGAAACAGTGAAACTATTCACATCAAGATTTAACATCACGCATTGGTTTTCTCTGTTCTGTTTCCTCCTTGTTCCTCACCTTAATCATGTAAGCCAAAGGATGTTCAGAATCATTTACTTTGGCATTGTAACATGGCAATGAAACTTCAAAAAAGATTTTTTAAATCTGTGGTGAGGCATTCTCCCCACAAATCCAAGGGGTATAAGATGTTTTTGTTAGTTCTGGGGTTTTTGCAATGAGATTCATGGTAATAAGATATAAAAGAGGATATCTGTTCATTCTCTTTTTTGGACAAGAACATAAGAGACCGAATTAAGCATAAAAATAGAATGCACTGCATTACATGGCAAGCATTCCACCACTTCTCATGGGAAGAAAGTAATGCTTGTACAATGTAACAAGCACTCCAACTACAATGTCAACAAGTTAAGGAATCTAAAGACATATTCCCCCCCTGCCAGTACTATCATTTGAAAGGATTTGGAATCCATGGGGTGCTATTATATTATTTGAGCTAAAGAAGCGCATTCAAGTAATCCAATCCACACCAACATGTATAGTCTAACTACCAAAGACTCATCCACAATAATCCGAACCTAAAGCAGCCCAAACCCAAATTAATTGTATAGACTGGATAGATGCAAGATAAAAAATATTGAGCATAACTAATCATCAACAACCAGAAGATGGAAACAACCAAGAGTCAACAAAGAGAAAAACATCCATTAAAAACAGAGTAGAACACCAATGCATTTCTGCACCAACCTTTTTACTACTCGGAGCCTCCCATCATACCCCCCCCCCC